GTGTGTACGTACGATATATATATTCCGTATGTTATAACAGATTGACGGTTTCTAAATAGTCAGTGACGATAACGAGACTCAGTGTCCGCGTTTCATTTGAAACGGTTGGATGTGTTGAGACGCGACAACCTTGTTTACATAATTATAAATTATCGTAGTAATTAATTGCATTAGTTGATATTATTGCACAGCTGATAAAACAAATATTTTTGTCTTGATATATTACGATATAGTATAGCATTTAGCATGGACGTTGTTAAAGGTATGGTATTCGATACTCTTATTTTTATAATACTTTGTCATTTTGGAGGTTTTTACGGGTTTTTAATTTTTTTATGTGTTAACGACTTGATGGAGTTCTTACTTATGTTCATTATCTTTCGGCATTATCGTAAATGAGATATTTATAGTTTCTTACTTTAAGTATTAATTTATAAGTTACTCAAAAATTATTAATATTATTATTTTTTTTTATTAATTGCTACAAAAAATTTGCTTTTTAATAATTGTTACAATAAATTTACTTTTTAATAATTGCTACAACAAATTTACTTTATAATATTTGTTTCAAAAAATTGACTTTTTAATACTTGCTATAAAAAATTTAATTTTTTAATAATTGCCACAAAAAATTTACTTTTCAATAATTGTTACAAAAAATTTGCTTTTTAATAGTTGCTACAAAAAATTAATTTTTTTAATTTTCAAATTGAAATTTTTCTATTTTCAAGCCAATTTTAATTTTTTTTTAAATTAAAACAAAGACATTATAATTAAGCTCAGAAAGTTGTTTTTAAGCTTTAAGACGACTTTGAACAAAACATTCAAGCTCAAGAGCTTTAAGATGCGTTCAAAGCTCAATTGATCCTTTAATTATAATTTAATCAAAATATATTCCTTTTTTTTTTTTTCACCTAAAACTAAATTCAGCCAAAGAAGGTATTTTTACTGAATTAAGTCTAAAAGACAGAGTAATTATTCCCTTGAAGCAAAATTTTATTCACAATAAAATTTAGTAAAATTAAAACGTAAGAAATGATCTTGAGAGTTGAATGAATATTTATTTTACATATATAAAAATAAATATTCAAAACAATATTATTATTTAATTTACTAATTTGCTGAAGATTAATTCGCGTTTTTCATGTACAATAATTATAAAAATTGCCGTTCATTTTATCATTTAATCATACCTGGAAAATATCTGTAGTATTGATAAGAATAATGTAAATAATACCATTTTCAATGACCTTATTTTCTGGAATTTTTTATGTGAATCTAGAACACTTGATTGATTTTTTATCAATTTATACTTAAATTAATTAGTAAGTTTATTTACTAATCTGATAAAATATTTCGATAATTAATTGCTTTTTATTGAATCACTCGACACGGTTGACACACAATAAATTTTTTGGCGCGTAACCAGAAGATCCGGGCTCAACATCCTGTTTGGAAAATCAAAAATATTTTTTTGACTGACTCCTTAACTTTCATTGAAAAAAAAAAACTTACATTAAGCGCTATAATTATTAATTTTTTACAAGTCATAAATTCATTTAAATTTCCTATAAAAGAATTTAATTAATATATTTATTTTATTTAAATATTTATCCATAAAAATGTTGCGCAAGTTCACTTTCTTCACAAATTCTTTTTTAGAGTCGTTCCATAAATTTCAGCACTAATTGCTTAAACGCGACTAAATATATCAGAAAGTTCAATGATTTAAAAATTTTTACATCATTAAAACAAAAAAAATTACTCTAAAATTGAGTAATTGCTACTTACAGTCTCAAGTGAATTATTAAACAATGAAAATATGTAAACAACTAACTGTTTGCATTCTTAAGTTAATTTGATAAAATAACTGATTAGTTCAAGATAATTTTTAGAATGTAATAAATTTTTTATCACTTGAAGGTGTGTCTTTATTCTAAAGACATGAATGGTAGATAATACATTTAAATCAAAACATTTAATTCCAATTTTATTACACGGACAAACGAAACTGAAAGCGCGGCTATCTTTTCTAGCATTGATGTGACTGGAATAAATATTTTCGCTTACACTTCTGCAGGTTGTTTGTTTTGTACGTATAATTTTCGATCATGACACAATTTTCATTTTTGGTCAATGTCATTGACGCGTTAGATCATTGTTTGTTATGATATCTATTAATTTTTTATGAATTATTTTGCAGAAGAGTTTTTAGCTTCTCATAATAATTTTTAAAAGTAACAAAATTATTTATTTTAAACAGATTTTTCAATTGCATTAAGGCAAATTTATATTTGTTACACATTTGAACTCTTAGTGCAAAAAAAGCATTAAAGGTGAAGGACGTTATCAATTTCATTGTCAACGTTGATTAGATAAGAATAATTATTTTAATGGTAATGCAAATTATATTGTATGTGAGTACGCTTATTTAATTATTGCTAAATAAATTTTTTTTTAATTGTTTCCAAATAAATTTTAGTTCTTATAATCGAAAGAACTACAGATAAAATTTAATTACGAAACGTGATATATTCATTTTTTATTTATTTATTAAGTTTAAATGCCAAGGCGCGAAACCGAATGGCAAAAATTATATATATAAAGTTATACTTCACATAAGTACGGTTAATACATACATATTAAAAAATAAAATTTACATAATAGCTTGCCCGATTAAAAATTATCCGAACAAAAACAGTTTCACTGTAAAAAAATCGCGCCAAGTCCACGTTCATAAGACTATTAAGAAAAAAAAATTAATTTTTTTCTTTACAAAAAGATATAAAATAAAAAAATTAAAAAATCCAAGTAACCGATATGATTGTTTATGATTTTCGGAAATTAAAAAAAATTTTGTTGTAAATTTAAAAATTAAAAAAACAATTTTGGAACGTATTTAGTGTGCACGGTTACAAAATATTTTACTTTTAACTAAATTCGTAAAATCTATTGACTAGGACTTTAAAAAAATTGAAATACACAATATGACGCAGAAAAATTATTCACGAAGAAATAGATATCCAAAGCGGATTATATACTAAACATTTAATATTCAACGCACATTAAATACGTTCCAAAATTTTTTTTTTATTTTTAAATTTACAACAAAATTTTTTGTAATTTCCGAAAATCATAAACAATCATATCGGTTACTTGGATTTTTTAATTTTTTTATTTTATATCTTTTTGTAAAGAAAAAAACTAATTTTTTTTTCTTAATAGTCTTATGAACGTGGCCTTGGCGCGATTTTTTTACAGTGAAACTGTTTTTGTTCGGATTTTAGTATTTTTTGTAATTTTAATAAAAATTTACAATTGGTACCAACTTAAATCTCGCGTTGGCTGCATTTTTTATAGCAAACTATCCCTTTGAAGCTACAGTTTATGTAAAAATAATTTCAGCGCACCCTGGCGGGTGTAGATGCAAGCTGTGAAATATCTTTTTTTAACTGTAGTTTCCCATCTAATGAAGGATTACTATGCATTCTCGACTTAGTCTGTGGCAGATCACTTTGCCCATCGAAAAAAAGTCAGGATCGAAATTTTTGCGTTGCTATAGTTTGTGCTGATTAAATTTAGTAATTTCAAGTAGATTAATTGTTATAAGTGAATATAATTATTAATTAATAACAGTAAAATAAAGTATGAATCACTGTTATAATATACAATTTAGGACAAAAAAAGTACCGTAGAATTAAATAAAATTTTGCAACCTCAAAATACCGTTCTGCTTACAGTAAACACAGTCGGTAGTCTGGCGCTCCGTTGACAACGGATTTGAACGGAACTTGGCGCCAGATTCTACCGAATCTGTGGATCTAAGATTGTGATATGAGGTTCATTATGAATCTCATATTTTGACACAAATGAGATTCATATAAAAGCCATATTAATACACATATGATACCCGTAATAAGGAAGATATACTGTCTTCTCAATTATTATACTTTTCCTCTGATTAACCGAAAAAATAAAAATTTTACTAATCTACTTAAAAAAAAAATTCGTTCACATAAGTATTTTACTTATTACGAATTTCAAATAAATATTGATACGGCTTTTATATGAATCTCATATTTATCTCAAAATATGAGATTCATTATGATAAATAAAAAACTATAAATAAATTAACTGGTCATTGAATTAAAAAAAATTTATATTTTATGGATAATAGTTAAAAAAAAATTATTAATGAAAATTATCTTTTATAATAGATGAAATTTTTATCGACAATAAAAATTTTTATGTTCCAATTATTGAACATTAATTCTTAATATTGTCATTAAAATTTAAAAAAATTTTTTTTCTCTATATAAATCATAATAATAGTTCGAAATACCTGAAGATATTTTGATCTATATAAATCAACGAATAAACTGTCAGGTTGATATTTATAGCAACGATCTATATTCAAAACGATCACACTATTAGCCTCAATTGATCGCAATTTGTCTCTAAACTTGTCCGCTATTATATGTTATAATAGTGATATGTAATCACACTTATATAAATTATTTGAACAAGTACTTGATAATAATGAATAAAAACAAAAACATTTCTATAAACAAGATAATAATTAATTTAGCAAGCAGGTTTTTAAATAGTTTGCAATTTAAGTTTTACCGATATTATATCCCTTGACTACTAAATTATATATGTCCGGTAAATAATTAAAAGTTATCTATCGCTTATTAATATATACTCGTTCGTTGTTATCAGCCACAGCGTACCGAGATAAAAAGATATTTTATGACCTAAAGCCATAAAGCGAGCCCCTCTATTTGCTCACAAATATTTTGGTGACTGATAACCTCTGAGGTAACATAATTTATGACGTTAATGGAATTATTCAGAAAAAAATCTGTTTATAGGTATATATAATAAAAATAAAGAATAAAAATAAAATCTTTTATATTATTACTTAAATTTCACACTTTATTAATTCAATTTAATTTAGCGGGAATTTTCATGACCTTGGTAGTTAGTAAGAAACTGTTTTTTTCTAGCCGCTAAATCATCCACGGCCAGTGATGAGTTAGGAGACACGCGAGCTAAGAGATGGAGGAATTTTATAGCGTTTTGGCTAATTGGCCTGTGTAATAATTACGGGTACGTTGTAATGTTAAGCGCGGCTCATGATATTTTGAAAGAAAAATTTTCTTCACCTGTAAGTATATGTATATTTTTTTTCAATTTTAATTATTTTTTCACAAAAAACAAGTCTTTACAATCGAAGTAATTTTTTTTACTGACGCGTTCAGAAAAAAAAATTTACTTGAATCAATTAAATAATTTTGAAGATCTTTTTCTTGATTTGAGTAGAAAAATTCTTAAACTAAGAAATTTTTCTTGATTTAACTTAAGGTTGTCTGAACATAAATGCACTTAAAATGATTATTAACTAATTTTTTGATGATATGTTATAAATTGCTATTTTATTTTTTAGCCAGTTTATTTACAAATTATTGTATAAATATTTCTATAAGCGCAAGATTTTATGAATTCAATTCGTATAAATGTGCTAATTCATAAATTCTATAAAAATTTTACTTGAATAGTTGAATTTTTTACAAATTCACTAAAATATCAAGTGGCAAAAAATGGCCAAAACTGGTACTTCTTCCCTGTGTTTAAATAAATTTTTTGGAATAGATCTGACAAAAGGTTATCGTTAAATAAATTATTAAAAAATTGAAATTTAACATGTAGCCTATAGAGAATATTGGCGAGATGCACATATGTCGATTTATGTGATTACCTCTTATAAATATTAAAAAACAAAAAATTCCTATTCCGATTAATCAACTTTTGTTAAATACGTTAAAAATAAAATGAAAATTTTCTGATAAAGATATTTTAATGCAAAAAAAAAGATTCAAAAATTTTTCGGCTTGATTTAAGACAGTGAAACTCTTTAAAATTATTTTCTTAATTCAAAGTAATTTTTTTTTTTCAGTGCGTTCAGACTAATAATTCCCGTATTTATTTATTTAATTTTTTTTCGTATTTTTATTAGCAATTAAACAACATTTAAAAATAAATTAACTAAAATTATAGGATTCGGTGGAAACTTCGAATGATATCACAATTGAAAATCCGCGGGGTTGTAACCAAGTATCAACAGGTGCTATTTTACTGGCTGATATATTGCCGTGTGTTATAGTAAAACTTACAGTGCCTTTTTTGCCGTTTCATGTCAAGTGAGTGTTAAATAAAAATTCTTCACTTATCATATAGAAAATAGAGGTCAATATAAGTAAAGAAACGTTGTGCTTCAATGTCAGACCCTGACCATGATCATGATCATGATTAATTGTTATGACTATGAACTGCGAGTTATGATAATTTTCCTGGCTTGGCGGAAAAAGTAGCACGGCAATTATATAATCTATGCATTATTAACATTGTAAATATAAATAGCAAGGTCGTTTTCGTTTACCATTGCAGTGTACGAGTAGCGATATGCGTAATATCGCAAGTTCTGGGTTTTCTGGCTGTTGCATTCGGCACGACACCTTGGATCACTATCTTAGGGGTGGTATTGACTTCGTTCTCTTCAGGCTTGGGAGAGATTACCATTCTCAGTCATAGTCACAAATACGGGAGGTATATAATATTAATTCTTATATTTACTGATAGAAGGATTTTTTAATGTTTAAAGAGCTTTATTAACATAATTATCAGTGATAATTTATCACGAAATTTGAACCTTTTATTTTAAATGTTAATTTTCAATTAAATTACAACAGATCAAGTATAGCTGCATGGTCATCAGGAACAGGAGGAGCAGGAGTAGCTGGCGCGTCATCTTACGTAGGGTTCCGACTAATAATGTCTACAGAGACTACCCTTTTGGTAATGTTAGTGGTCCCTATTGCAGAAGCTATCGCTTTCTGGGTCATTATGACTCCACCGAACGAAAAAACGGTCCTTAAATACGGCCTTAGCAGTCAAGATGAGATTATCAAGGCGCCAAAAAAAACAATTAGAGAAAAAATCGCGCTGGTGCCTGGATTGATGCCTTATCTTATTCCACTGTTTCTTGTTTATCTATTTGAGTATTACATCAACCAGGGATTGGTAAGAAAAATATCATTTATTTTTTAAACGAAAAACAAGGTTTGGATCTTCTAAATCAATTATAAGATTTTCATTAATTTTTTTTCACATTATCAATTGACTTTCAAGTATACACTAAGAGAAAAAATTAAATTTTTTGAAATTTTCAACAATTTTATTTCTTAGCTGAAGAAATTAAAATTTTTTCTCAAATATCTTTTCTTTATACCTCGGTCGAAAGTACGCAAATTTTGCACCTTTTTTTAAGCAGAAAGTTCAATATTTGTGCATTGGTAGAGCTACGCATACGTCTTTTGTTACAGCGGGAGCAAAAACTTTTCTACCGCATTGAAACATGTGTGAAGTTGCTTTCAGTACCCCAATTATGTTCGTTATTTGTTACTAACCGTATTTTGTTTACGCTGATTGTATATTTCATAAAGCATTGAGAATTTAAATCGTGAAGGATTTAATTTATTTAATTAACAAAATTATGTCGACTGAGATAAAAAAATAATGTGAATCTTGTTGATTTATTAACTTATCGATAATATTATTATTCTATATATTTCCCAACCATAAAAAAATGTATGTTAGTTAATTTTAAAAATGTTTATGTTTGTTCAATTGGACAGTTTATCGTGTTTAAATAAAATAAGTCTTTTATTTATTTACATTGGTTTCTTTGCTTTGATGCCTGCCCACGAGGCTTTGCCTCGGGCATCATGGCGCGCAGTGCAGGAATTTCAAACTTTCTGCCCTAATAGTGTAATATACTATTCTTGTTGAAAAAAAGTTTTCTAAATTTGGAAAAAAACAATTATAGATAAACAACTTCATAATTTTAATCAAAAATTGTTTTTTTCCAAATCTAAAAAACTTTTTTTCAACAAGAAAAAAATTTTAATTTCTTCAGCTAAAAAATAAAATTATTGAAAATTTCCAAAAAATTAATTTCTTGTCTCAAAAATGCTCAAATTTCAAAATAAAATTTTTTTTTCTCTTAATGTAAAAATTGCTTATATTTTTTAGCATGAACTCATTCAATTCGATGGTATTTGGTTGAACCACGCCGAACAATACAGATGGTACCAAGCGGATTATCAAATTGGAGTTTTTATTTCACGATCATCTGCGACTTTCTTCACTTTTAAAAAAATTTGGCTGATGGCTCTTTTACAAGTAAAAAAATAAATTACCCAAGCGACAAATTTATCAAAATGGAATAAAATTCTCGAAAAAACAACATTAATTATTTTGTTTCAGCTCATTAATATTGTGATATTTACAACGGAAGCGATATATTTTTACATTCCAAATATTTGGATTGTTCTGGTGATTACTTTATGGGAAGGCCTTCTCGGTGGTGCAGCGTATGTCAATACCTTCTATAATATGGGAGAGACGGTAATTATTAATTTTAAAATTGAAGAAATACTAAAAAATTCCGTTTTTTTTGTCCATGATAAATAAGTAAATTTATTTTAGATCCCCGACAGAGATTTAAAAGATTCATTGGGAATTGTATCGATGGCTGATTCTCTTGGAATAGCCCTCGCTGGTACCCTTGCCCTGCCTGTTCATACTGCTATTTGTAAGCTCCCACGACCAACGTAATATTAAATAATATTAAGAAGACTAGTATAGGTTCTTTTAAGTTTCTAATAGGTAAAATAAATTCTAAAGAGTAATTTTTGTACCCAATATTTAATAAGATAAATTTATACATAATTTAGTATTTTTTTTTTTGTTGAAATTTACTGATAATAATTTGATAAATTTCAAAAATTTAGGCCGTTTAAACAAATCAAAATATTTTCTTGTCTTGAAAATTGATCGAATTATTTTTTGTTTAATTCAAGTGAACCTATTCGTTTGTTAATCTATCAAAATTAATGCCAATATTTTATTGTCATGATAGATATTGATATTCTCTTGTCAAAAAACCAAAATTTATTTTAAACGATTCTTGAGCCAAGAAATTTTTTTCTGGACAAAAATTTTTTTTTCTCAGTGAGAATTAAAATACAATTAATCATTAATTCATAGGACTGATAAAATATATTTATATTTAATATTTATTTTATTGAGAAGGTCACGAATTTTTGGCAATTTTTTTTTATAGTATTTTATTATCAGTGTACTTAATAATTTTTACAAATAAACGTTACAAAATATTGCTGAAAATTAATTAGTAAAATAATTTAGTGATTATTAAAAAATGTAACATCTCAATAGTTATTTTTACAAGTTGTTACATATTTATAAAAAAATAATTTATTACAACTAATAATTTTATAAATTAATAATTATTTAAATAATTTTTAAGGAAAAAAAAATAATGTCTTCAGTATTGCTAATACACATTTATTTATGAATATAAATCAGTATAAAAAAAATAGTTAACATAAAATAAATGTTACAGCACCTTGTTATTTTATTTATTACAAAATAAGAGCATAAATATTTATTATTGTACAGTCGAAGATAAATAAAAAGTAATTTTTACAAAATATTATTAATAAATCATTTGACTAGATATTTTACGGTGTCTGTATAAAATAATTAACATATATTAATAATAATAATTGTAAAAAAAATTACTTGGCACAATTTTACTAAATATCAAAATTCTTATATTAATACTTTGGTTTCCTCTTTTGATCATTGATTGTTTATTGCATTGATTAATTGAATTAGTATCTAATATAATATTAATGATATATTATGTATTAAATAAAAATTAGTAGAAAAAATTATTAATTTAAGTACATCGATCCAAAATTATTTTACCAGATTCTTCGTATTCGTGACGGGATAACCACATTTGTTGAAATGATCCCAAAGAACTTAATATTGAGCCGCCGATCCAAGCGCCAAAGCGACGTTCGTTTAAGCTATTAGCGTTGATTATTTTCAGTCTCATACTCTGTTAAATATTTAATTAAAAATTACAATATTTATTGCTTTTTAAAAATTTTAAAAATTAATATTTAGATTTTAAATTTACCGGAGGAGTTTTGCTGGCCAAATCTCTGTTTAACCGATCACTGAAACCTTGTAGACAAGAATTTCCACCAGTTACGACAACACTTCCATACAAACTCTGAAAAAATATTTAATAGTGAAATAATATATTAAAAAATAATTTTCATTCAAATAAATTACACTCTAGAAAAAATTTTCTGATAGGTCTATATATGGGGCATTCCATGCCAAATCGACCACTTTTGACACCGACCCTTTTCGATTTTTCTGAAATTTTGGTATCTTTCTCCAACCTATTGAAAACAATTTTCAGAATTTTTTCAAATTTTTTTACCCAACCAAAAAAAAGTTTTTAATGAAAAAAAAATTTTTTTTAAATGTTTGTTTTTCGTTATACCACTCTGAAAAAAAAATAGAAAGAAAAAGTTTACCACTCTGAAAATTTTAGGGAATTTGCAAAAAATACTGAAGTTTTTTTATAAAAAAGAAAAATCGAAAATCAAAAATGTCAATCATCCCGAAATTTTCGTTTTTTTCCAAAAAGTTAAAAAAAAACATTGAATATGAATCCGAATTATTATTTTTATTTTTTTTTTTAAAGTACATTTAAAGACAAAAATTTCAAAAAAAAAAACATCTCAAAAAGTCAATTTTCAAAAAAGTTATGGTTATTTAACAAAAAAAAGCTGTTTTTTTGTAATAACTTGTAACTTTTTTTTGGTTGAGTAAAATCGAAAAGGGTCGGTGTCAAAAGTGGTCGATTTGGCATGAAATGTCGCATATAATTTTTGATAAGTCTTAATATGTTCATATATGGACACATATGGTTTGATATTTTTTTGTATCATACTCGATATATTTGTTTATACCCAAATATAATTTTTCGGTAAAAAGTAGTGTTGAAAATTTCCGACAGGTGGCGCATGGTCGCTAATTGTCTCCTAACAAGAGATTTAAGTTTGAGTTTAACTTGTCTTTAACTTTCCTATGATAAAATTAAGATGAAAAATATGTGTTGCAAACTATTCGTAACGTAATTGGTCAAATATATTATTATAAGTATGAAAATATATGCAAACTCTATATTCAGGCGCGCGCAAATAAATTCTAGTCCTATAATAAAATTGAAATGTATATGGCATCAATTCATTCGTGATGTGATTGGTCAAATATATCATAAGCATGAAAATATATGCAAAATCTATATTCAGGTGCGCGCTGGCACGCACAAATTAGATTCTATCAACTTTCAAGGCTTTTTTATTGATATTATTCTTACTTATTAAGAGTAAAGGTCGATAAATAAAATATTTAAGGAGTCCGAATCAAGCCAGGAGTCGAACTTGGGTTTTCACGATTATATGCCGGGTGGTCCACTATTTAAGCTACCAGATCCTTTGATTAAATATTTAATTCTTAACTCAATTGGTTTTTAGTTTAATTAACTGCTACATTAATTATTGTTTAAAAAAAAAACATGCTAATTAACGTAGATTTTTTAGAAAAATAAAAAATTATTTTTTTGTTATCATACATCCCTTATTGTCTTTTCTTTAAATCTTAATTTTTAGTTACAATTTGTTTTTTGACTTTATTAACTAATTAATTAAAAAATTACTGTATCTAATTACACAAATTACTTGGTATCTAAAATTGTATTATAATAATGTATAAATTTATATATTTGTATCTCAATTGTATACTTATGTGACCCTGTTAGTGGCCATTGGCTGTTGGGTCTTTTCCAAAGAAATAAATAAATAAATAAAAAAAAAAAGATTTAAAACGATTCGAAATGACAAGATCAGAAATTTTTTTAAGCAGTTTTCAGAATAAAATACAAGACTTACAGGCCTTATATCCATATCACACATTCCAACACTTGTGGTAACTAGAGGACCGACTCCAAGGATACTGGTTCCAACACCTTTGACATTACTAGGATCAAATAACGCTTCTGGAATCATCAATCTGATCGCTCCATAATCATCATTATAACCAGTGGGAAACTCAAAATGTTTCAGAGGCAACGCATTAGCTGCGTCTTCGTCGTAAGGATTGTCCGCAACTTGAAGGCAATTAATTTGAAAATCCTGGAGAACTTCGCGGACCATATAATTGAGCCAGGAAGAGGTCGGCTGGAGACCCGGCTTTTTTGTCCAACGAGGCGGATCTCTTTCACGTACTACATCTTTTCGGATAATTAAAATTAATTATATTTATTACAATTATAAATTAAATCATTTTTAAATTTTACCTTTGCTGGATATCAAACAAGCTGGAGTAAGTTCAATATTTTTTTCTTCAAAAAATTGCCTGCATTGCATCGTTATAAAATCCCCGCCCAGTGGACTTTTAACGATACCTTGAGTTATGACATAGCCGTCGTGAACAGGAACGGCACTTGTGTGAGTCGCACCACTATCGACGACCATAGCCGTCGATCTTCCGTTTGCGTAAGCAGCTAGGACGGCATTTTTGCAAATATACATTGCGGGGACGTTGAATTTTTCAAACATTAACTCTAATAATTTTTCTCTTTTAGGACGTGTGTTCCAAGGACACTCGGACATTAGAATCGGGTGGTGCTCAGATAGTGCATGAAGTCTTTGTTTGTATGTATACTCAGCCAGACGTTCGAACATGTCCCAATCTTCTATCATGCCGTCCTTTACCATACTTACTATCTCCATGTCTGAAATAATTTTTATTTTTTTATAGTTTATTTAATTTTGTAAAAGGATTGTAAGAGTTTTTGTTTTAATCAAGTTAATTTTTTTCCTTACACTGAAAAAAAAAATTCTTGACTGGAGTGTAATTTTTTTGGCTCAAGAAAATATTAAGGAAAATTTAAAATTTCTAGAATGAAATCAAAGTTTCTTGAGCCAAGAAAATTTCTTCTTGCTCCAAAATAATTTTTGTTTTCCTTAAAATTTTCTTGGCGCGAGAAATTTGTTTTTTCTGTGTACAGGTCGCAGTTAGTATAAAAAAAGAATTAAAAATACACTTTGTTTAAATTAAGAGTAGTGTGCAAATTTTAAAAATAAACGAAATATGAGTCAGTTGAAAAAAAAATATCGATGATCAAAAATATTGATATTGTAAAAAAATAAATTTTAAGTATTTAAAAGTACTTTAAAATTATTTTAACGCGTTTCAAATTTTTTTTTTTTTATTTTCAATAGTTAATTAATATTAAAATTAATATCATTAAATATGTAATTTTTAATTTGCTATCCGGCCATTATAGCCTTGGAATAAATAATAAATATCTATCTATCTATCTATCTAATTTAATTAGATTGCAACGAGGAAAAATTTTATTAAATTAAATGTCGGAATAAAAAATAAAAAATTACAAATTTTAATTTTTTTCTTTAATCTTTAACAAAAATTACATATTTTTAATAAAATAAATTATACTTTTAATTAATTAAGACTAATAATTGTTTTAAAATTGAATTATAAAAAGAGGTAACTTATATGAAATTAATAAACTGAGCATACCTTTTCGCCGAACTTGAATAGCCGTAACATCAATGTTATAATGTTTCTTGGAAGATTGTGGAATGGTTTGATCAGCATTATCAAGGGCGTCCTCCCACACCCCGAGGCTGGTCGGGATTTCGGCTTTTGGACAATCCTCTCCGCCATATCCGACGCGAAGACTTTGATGTCCAACATCAAATATAATGGCGCCGACTTCGTCTATTCACGGGCATGTGCAATAATGGATATATTTGTCAGACTATTATTTATGTAGACAAATGTTTGAATATAACGATTACTCACCACCACCGTAGACACCACCGCTCATAGTATACAATAGTATCTGATGGGGGTACTAATTTTGCGCATGCTTATCAATCCTTTATATATTTTATACACAATAAAATCGCTATAAGCTGTAAAGAGATAAAAATTACTCTGTTTAAGAATAAATAAATCAGTAATTTCCTGCAGAGACATCTGTGAGTCACACGTGGAAGGATGTTAGGGGATGAAATCGAGTAGCCGAGAAATTCGGGGGTGAGTTTGATGCGAGATGATATCCCAAGATTTTATCTTCTGCGGGTTATGTAAAAAAATTTTTTTTTACTTGTAATTTTTAAACGAAAAAATTTTTTAAATTTTTAAACAAAAAAAGCAAAGGTCTCGACTTGAATTTGTGCCTTTTCAAGATATCATATCATTCTCACCAATAGTCAATTTATAATGATAAGAAATGAAAGGTCTTGATGAGCGTAACATTAGGATGAGCTTACATCTTTAAAAATGTCAATAACCAAGAACTGACATCGCTATCTTGTCAACTAATGATATTTTTAAAAATATAAGCTCATCCCGATGTTACACTCATCGAGACCTTTCATTTGAGTACCCACATGCATTTTTGATATATTTATATATTATATATATATATATATATATATATATGTATCTATGAAAAATATATATATATACATATATTTATATTATATCTTCAAAAATGTCAATATTTAAAGAAGTACAGTGCAATTTAACAAAATTCATTATTTAATAAAGCAAAATTTTATTTATTTATATTTCACAAGTCATGGGAGTCATATAGTGACTGCAAGGTTGTTAGTTGTAGTTATTTTCATGATTTATTATATAACACGATAAATAATTGAGATAAGTATGATTGCACGTGGTATATAGCATAAGTGGTCAAGTTTAACAACGAATTGAACCCAATTGAAGATAATCACCGTAAATAGTTTTAAAATAGATCGTAACTATAAATATAAATCCTGACTTATTAATATGTACAACGGAATAGATCTAGATATTGTAAATTAATTTGTGACGTCAATTAAAGTTAGCAAGCTGCCATTTTGTCGCAGCAATAGTATATATAACTGTATTAATATTCATGCAGTTATTTGATTTATTTCTTACGTTTATAGGTCATCAATAATTAATTTTGAATTGTTATTACCCTTAAAATTTCAAACAATAGTTCACAATTTTTATTACAAAACTAGGATAAAAAAATTCGTATTGTTTATTAATAATTAGTATAATAAATTATTATTATTATTATTATTATTATATTTAAAAGTAAACATAAAGGACAAGGAAATAAGAAATAATAAATAGACTTTTTCAATCAATATTGTATATTTTACAAAGTAAATAGAATATAAATAATCTACAGTTCACCTAAAACACAAAAGTGTTAATTTCTTTTTTTCTCCATGGTAAATAATTTTTTATATATATAATAATAAAGTATATATATAATATATACGATATCAACAGGAAAAACTTTTATTTTTTTTTTTTATTTATTTAAAAAACATTTTTATAATTAAATCAGTATACCAATTCAAGACATGAAAAAATTTATCGTTTTAAACTTACGATTAAAAAGTTAGTGCCGTGTAACTCAAAACGAAAATCGTTTTTCATTTTTCAATAACTTCACTTTTAGATTTTATCAACATTACATAAATTTCGTTCCTCGGTAATTTGTTTTTTTTTACTAATTATAATGAGATTAACATTTAGTTTTTCGTTTAAGTCAATTCGTTAGTTTAAAACGTGAGCGTGTGAGTAAACAATTTTTTTTATTTAACATTTTATGTGATCAGGACATAAATTACATAATAATTATCAAAGTCATGTAACGGAGGGACAGATAAACCATTTATAAGAGAAGTTGATATTCTTTTAATGTTTATTCAATCAATTCGTATAATCCAATTTGTTTATTTCTTCCTTTACTTTCTCTTTATTTTTTTATCCCATCAATCAGCTTCAATATATTTTTATTTGTATTTATATTAATAATAATAATAAATATGAAATAGCATTTGCACAATTATTTACACCGCAATAACGAAGTCTCGTCGATTTCGTTGGCCACCGTGTCCACGATCGAGGTCGCACTCGGCTTCACTTAGCTCGAGCGCGTCGGAGAACCCCGAGGGTGGGTCCAGTTTGGCGATGAACAGGGTTCCTGATCCTGCATCACCACGCTCCTGCTCCCGGGTCCTATTACCCGGCTGGTGCTTGGGATTGCCAGGCCTGGGGATTGTCCCGAAACTTGTACGGGTCTCCTCGCCGGTATAACGCGCCAACTGTAACATCCTAAAACAAAATTGTTATTTTATTATTTATTTATTTATTTTTTTTTTTTTTGATAAAAAACAAGTACATCTTTCAATTACAATGAAGTTTAATGAATACAAAATAAAAACATTGTGTTTAAAATTTTTGTCAAACGGTTATTTGTTTGATTCTTATATTATACAGAAAGTTCCAAAAAAGTAAAAAAAAAAAATTTTAAGAGTTGAGGGTTATACATTTTTAAAAAATTGATTATTAATTCTAAGCACTTATTAGGGATAAAAAGTGTAAGACTATAAGTATTAAAAATAAATTGGAACTTTCATATAATTTTCCTTTATTAAAAAGTTGATTTGACGATTTCATTGTTGTCGCTTTTCTCTGCTATGGCAACGGTTAAATATTAATGAATAGAATTCGTAAAAATATTGATTAATTAAATTGTTAATAGTAAAATTTTTGTCGGAAGCGTACTCAAATGAAAGGTCTTGATGAGCGTAACATCAGGATGAGCTTATATCTTTAAAAATGTCAATAATTAAGAAATGACCTTGTATGTTGTAAACTATTGACATTTTTAAAAATATAAGCTCACTCCGACATTACACTTATCGAGACCTTTCATTTGAGTACCCACATCAATTTTTGATATATTTTATATATTTATATATTTCACAAATACCATATATATAAAATATATAAAAATGCCATGTGGGTACTCAAATGAAAGGTCTCGATGAGTATAATAACGAGATGAGCTTATATCTTGAAAAATGTCAATAACTAATATATTACGTTGTACTTTGTCTACTGATGATATTTTTAATGATATAAGCTCATCCTGGCGTTACGCTCATCGAGACCTTTCATTTGAGTACACACACGATTTTTTGATATATTTTATATATTTCACAAATATGAGAAATATCATATATATAAAATATATGAAATAATTCGTGTGGGTGTTCAAATGAAAAGTTTCGATGAGCGTAACACCAGGATGAGCTTATATCTTGAAAAATGTCAATAATTAAGAAATGACATTGTATTTTGTTTAACTGATGATATTTTTAACGATATAAGCTTATCCTGACGTTACTCTCATCGAAACCTTTCATTTGAGTACACACACGATTTTTTGATATATTTTATATATTTCACAAATATGAAAAATCAGGATGAGCTTACATCTTAAAAATGTCAATAATTAAAAAAATCAAAATTCTTGAAACCGTTCGATCAACAATTAAAAATTGAAAATACTTATTTAATTACATTATAAATTTCATGACTATTAATTAATTGATTCGCAGATTTATTTTATCAAAATAACTGTAAAGAAAATGAACCCAAGAGAGTGTTTTAAATAAAGCGCTCTTGGCTTTACAAAGGGTTGAAATAAAGCTTATAGACGAACCTTTGGTATACCGTTTTTTAACTCTGCATCAACAAGAAAATTTACTTTATAGAGGATTAATTTTAGCGTTGTACTAAATATCCTGCTTACAACGAACAATGAGTAATATTCTTTAGTTATTAATTAATTAACTACCAGACAACTCAATTTATATTAATAACGAAAATCCGCTTAGAATTTAACTTATTATTATTTTTATTTATTGATAAAATCCATTAATAAAATAAATTTTAATTTTTTATTTATTCCATAATAAATTTAAAATTAGTTATAAAAAATTAAAATTAAGGAACTTTTCATTGCTCATAAATAAAATTTATTATTATTTAAAATAAATAATTTTATGGCAACTTAATCATTAAATGGCGCTAGATGCACCATTAATTGTGCAATTATTATCTTTGTGTAGATTAATTTATATTACCTTATTAATAATTTACATTTCTTCATTTTTTTTTTATTTTTTATAGTTCTTTACTTATAGCTGCGCCAGATAGCTATCTTGTACTTAAAATAATAAATTTATCTACTTATAAGTACTTCGTATGTATATTATTAAATACATAAATAAATTAAATAAATAAATAAAAATAAAAATAAAAATTTTAAACAGATAAAAAAAAACTTACTTGGGTCGTCCCCTTCCAGGAAACGATTTTCTCTCAAAAATCGGTGAGGGTTCCGTAGACGTGCTAGATTCTGGTCCATGGTACAAGAAGTCTAAAAATATAAACGCAAAAAATATTAAAATAATTGTAATTATTTTTTGTCAACACTAATTAATCAATAAAAGCTCAAGTACATAAATTTAAATATTACATTAATAAGAAAAAAATGCAATGACGCATTGTGCTGTGTGAGAAAAGCACACAAAAGAATGAAGCAAAAGTACTTAAATTTAAGACTAGCTAAAAGTAAATTGAATAAATTATTTGTAAAAAAAAAAAAAAAAAAAAAAAAAAAAAAATAATAGGAGGCATATCGTACTGTGAACACGCGCGTCGGTTGCAAAAGCCGAGTGGTGCGAATCGACGAGGTGATTGGAAGACTCAGTTCGGCTGCTGGTCCCGACTTCAGTGTCGCTGTCCGAGCCCAGGGTGTCGTATTCCTCCGACTCGGACTTGCCCTGATTGACCTTGTGCGTTTTATGCAACGGCGCAGAGGACGAACGGCCTCCGCGCACTTTAGTGTACCGGTTGCAATCCGACTGCAATCAGACGGAATTTTCATCATTTAAGTTTTCTTCTTTTGCTTTTCATTTTTTGTTTTTCATTTTTCATTAAATTTTTATCTACGCAACGGTTCTAACACACCGTATTGTTGTTTTTACTTGGATTTTTTTTACTTTTTTCGTCAATCCATTCATTCGCCTGTTAAATCACTTTGTCTTTGTCTGTCAATAAATATTTTCAGTGTAATACTAATTAACAAACGGTTATAAAATGCGGGCTTGACTGCGAAACGAAGCAAGGAGGGACCAGCAGTCGTGTTTAGTTTTATTACAATTAATGATTAATGATTCACAAATTCTAATGGCGACGCAACTAGATCACTCACAAAAATTTTAATAACAGCTAATGAATTTTTCACATAAATAATCTATTTAATTTATGTAAATATAATAATAATTAATGAAGACATGAATGATTAATAATTATTGAATTACATCTATGTAATGCTAGATGATGGTCATTTTTACTTAAAATCTAATAATAATTTCTACCAGGGTCCATAACTTGCGTTTTGATATTAATCGATTTTTAACACAGTAAAAAATTTTTTTTTTTTTTAGGAATTTTACTGAGAAATAAAAAATTTTTGACTACAATAATTAACTTAAAATATTTAGAAAGAAGAAATTTTTGAAATTGCTCAAAAAATAACTTCAATCTTGTTTACAATTTCCTTGGTTTAAATAAACTTTTTTTTTCTGTGTAATAGAAGTTTTTCTGTAAAAATAAAAAATATTGTAAGCAGAAAATTTTATCTTTTCAGTGAGAGATTTTTATCTTTAATCAAACTTCATTCCTTAATAGTTACTTTGATTGCCAGAAGATCCATCAAAGTCAGTCGGTTAATTCAGGAAATACCACGCTATAATTTTTTTTTCTTATTACATTTTGTGTCACTTTTGAGAACGATTCTCAACCTATAAGGTTGAAGAAAAATCTGAAGGAAATTAAGTGTCTAAAATAAAAAAAAATAAAAATTTTGTTTTTTTTTTTAAATTAATTAACTATTTATCAATTTCTATGATTAAAAATTAATTTCTTTTTTTATATAATAAATTTATTAATTTAAGAAAATAAAAAAAAAATAAAGATCAATAAATTTTAATAAGAAAATATTATTCTGTTTTGTATAAGTTTAAATTTTTTTTTAAGTTTTACTAAATTAGAATAGTCAAAAATCGATCATCAAATTTAAGTACAAAAAATTTTTAGTTGAAAAAAATTTTTTACTGTGTAAATTTTAAAACTTTCGCAAGACATTATCTAATATTGTGACATTACTTTCATTTTATATCATGCATTTCTAAACATAATAATTCCAAGTGATGATAAATTAAATTTTTATTAACGCTAAAAATTTTATAGCAATGATAAATGATCATTAAATTTAATTGAAAACTTTAGTGATGATTGATAAAATTGAATTGAATTGATAAAATTTTCAGCGTTGCTACGATGACTTACAACGACCACTTCTAAATGAGTGTTCTGAAGGAAACCATTGCAAAAAAAAATATCTGTATGGTAAAAAGTGCGATGATATTGGATGCTAAGGAATGTTTATTCGTAAAACAAATGCAAGGAACGGGAAAACTCGACTACGGGATGAAAATTGATCAGCACATTAAATTGGAGATTTAAAAATAAATTATTAATATAATTATAGTTTGTAATTTAATAGTAATAATAAAAAAACATTTTACCTCGCGTAATTGTAGAGTGTCGGCAGTAGAAAGCCGCGGATCGTGATAAACAAAAGTTTGAAGTGGAGCTGCTGAATCACAACGACTATCTCCACCAGCTGGTACACTTTCCTTCAATTGGAATGTCGCGTACGGGTAGATATCTTCCGAGTATTCTACAACCAGTCAACAATTGTGTTCGCGGAATTATAAGCTACTGCGAAGCAATGTGAGTTTAAGAGGGCTTAATTCTAGTGTATATATTTAGATCGAAATACATACACTTAATGGTGGCAAATAAAAAATAAATAAATAAAAAATAATAATTTTGGTTTGAAATTTTTAAAAAATTATTTTTTACTCCGAAATTAAGTTATGATTTTTCATTATTATTATTGGTTTTAATAATAATAATAATAATAAAGATAATAAAAATAAAATATAACTAGAAGGGTGGAAATGAAATTGATGATGGCCAATTAGCTAGACGTCAACGCTCACCAGGAATACGCTCAAGAGTTCCCATCTCATGGATTGGTGATCTCAATGGTTTTCGTACAGTCGCGTAATATTGCTCTCGTTGCTCCATATTTTGTTTATTGTCCAACGCGGCAGCTGTTTGAGCATCGTGAAGGCTGCCAATGTCGCCTAACAAAGGACCTAATTTAAAATTAAATTAATTCTATAAATCCAAAGACCGATGGTCCTTGTTTATCATTAATCATTATTAAATTATTATTATTTCAATATAAAATTTATTTATTATTTCAATAATTTATTTATTAGTTCAATAATTATAATTAGTAATTATTCACAAGTGGGGTCAACCCCATTTTGGGCCATAACTAGGTTAAAAATTAACATTTTCAATTTTTTTTTATTCTGCTTGTTTTTACAGTGGATTTATGGTGGTGATATCAAAAATTAATAAAAATTAATATTTCAATAGTTTTTTTGCCTTTAAACGTTGGAAACAATTTTGGCTCATGTTTTTGGATAAAATTTATAATTTATCTGTTTTTGATATACATTTTTTTTTTATAGTAAATAAAAAAACGAACAATTTAAAAAAATTTGATCAAAAAAAAAAAAACAAATTAAAATGGGTTAGCATGGGTTGACCCCACTTGTAAATAATTACCTTATATTTATTTATTATTTCAATAAAAAAAAAATTTCAATCATCAATTTTTTTTCAGTAGAATTTTTCATTACTGACCATTTTTTATTAAAGAAGAATTGACTATCATAAAATTTCAAATTTTGATAAAAATTCCTAGTCAAAATATTAATCTACTTTTATGCAATAATTTTAATCTATTTTTATGTACTCTTTAAAATATTGTTATTAAAAAAAATAAATAAAAATTTTGAGTAAAAATAAAAATTTTTCAAAACTAAAATTTAACTCTATAATTAAAATTTTTTATATATTTAAAAATTTTAATTTAGCTTTTTTCTGAACTTTATCTTATTGAAGTTTTATTATATTTAAATACTAAAAAATGAAATTATTTTACAATAGATAATACAGCTTACGTTTTCGAAAACAGTAAAATACAGCACCAGCAGTGGCAATAATAGCAAAGGAACATAAAACTAACGGTACTATTAGCTTCAAATCAGCTAGTACGGAAGATTGTTGTGGAATAAATTGATCTATCTCCACAGTAGGCAGTGTTGTAGTGATATGAGGCTGAAGTGTCGTTATTTTGTATTCAGCCACTGAAGATCCAGCGTTATTGTGAGCTCTTACGCGGATATCGTAAGCTGTTCTTGGATGAAGTTCGCTGAGCGTATAAGATTTTTGAACCTAAAATGAATTATTGATAGAATATACCCTCCATTAATTAATAATTAATAAATAAAATAATTTACTTCAATATTGTTGGATACAAGTGTCCACAATTCTTCATTGTCCTTCCGGTACTCGAGTTCGAACCACGTAATAGGGCAGCCGCCGTCGTTCCACATACTCAGATGCAAAACAATCCAGGACACATTGACAGTGATAAATTTGTCGATACTTCCAGGAGAATTAGCTGGCTTGGAACCTTTTGTTGTTGCTTTTACGAATTCACTCGGCGAACCCATTCCTATTCTATTGTAGGCAGTGAGGTAAATTTGGTACTCGGTACCGCACCAGAGTTGCGATAATAAGTAACCATTTATTTTGTGTGACACTTTGACCTCTTCCCAATCCCCGAATTTGCGTTTGTAATGAAGTATGTAGCCCCGTGTAAGTGCACCTCCGTCGTCACCCGGTTTCCATTGGACACTTATTGAATTACTCGTTGTACTCGTTGCGAGAAGCAGCGGTGCTGACGGTGGCACTGGATTTAGATTTTATAATTACATTTTCACGACAAAATTACCTTGTTAGAATCTAAGTTAGAATTATAATTAATGCTTTGAATAAATAATATGACAGAGATTTTCATTAATATTTTTAACGAGTTTCTACTTGGAAAAGATCATTTTTTGCATGCCAAAAAATTTTACTTGTTTTAACAACCAATTTAAGTCTTATTACTTTTTTTTTAACACACTATGTGACTGCCGGGACGTGAATTATTAATAAATAAAATTTTGCTATATTAAATAGTGATTTTTGTTGAATTGCACTGTACTTTCTTAATAACTGACGTTTTTAAAGATATAAGCTCATCCTGATGTTACACTCATCAAGAGCTTTCATTTGAATACCCACATGCTATTTTCATATATTTTCATATATACATATATATAATATATAT